CTGTAGGGAAATTCGTGAGGGACAGATCTGCAAATCTGGGAAAATACAGGCCCAGTACTAACCCGAATTCCTACAGCTACCCTAACTGCCTATAGCAGGCCCGGGCTACCCCTAGGACAGACCGGCCCTAAGCGGCCTATGCTGCTAGACGGTCCTATAGCCTATAGCCGGGTCCAGTAGAGGCCGAGAGGCCGAGACAGCAACGGTACCGGTCGGTCAGTCAGTCCGGTCTAGGTCTAGAGAGTCTATAGATAGGTTAGGCGCATGGGTTCAGGACTTTTGGCGGTTCATTTCTCGCGAAGCAACGTTTGAGAAGCCAAGCAAGTTGGTGGCGGTGACGGGTCTGCAGGCGGCATCCTGAGACGCACCGTGACAGCAGCCATAGTCGGCCCTCTCTGAGTCTGCCATAGCTGGGGCATTCTCAGCGCATCTACCCCTGGGGGTATCTGCGTATGGCCGGGCTGTATCGAGGCTCCACAGGGCGTGTTCGTGGGTGGTGGCACCCATAGCTGCCTGTTCCTTCGTCAGAGTTGTCCATCGGCACTGAAGACTTCATCGCAGGGCCTGTTCTTCATCAGGGTGGTTGGCGCTGGCCTCTGGGAGGCCAATCTGATGTGGCGCTACTAACTGGGTGCAGGATAGAGAGTGGGGTGTGAGTTCTGAGAGTGGCGAGATACTGGAACAAACTCTGTCACGATAATTGTTGAGTGGCTCATCATCAGTGTGAATTTCAATTGTTATCCACGCAGGTTCTACTTGTGATTGGTTGTTGGGAGTTTGTCAGAGAGAGAGAAACACTGTGTGTCTTCTCCCCATCTGTGCATAGCTGTTTTCCGCTGCCTATTCTGATCTGTGTGCAGTGTGGACTCTGTCTCCTCTCCCCCTTCTCTTATGCATGTATGGGCGTGTATGAGATTGTCTGTGTGTGAGTGGCGATAAAATTCATAACAGCTGTATTTGGGGGATCTTTCAGTCTAAATACTGATCTAAATGACCGTACGTTGTATTCTGGGGAAGAAGAAGGTAGTTAGTCTCACCCAACCGCGGACGTATTCGTGCATACACACATGAGAGCAGGTCTCGGGTTCAAAGCTCCACAAGCACAGCCGACGCTTACTGGGTTCAAACTGCAACAGCAGCATCACAGGGAAGGGCACAGGTGAAAAAAGTAAACGCCAGGTCCCGGGTTCGAACTGCAACAGGGGAAGGGCACAGGTGAAAGTCAACGCGAGGTCCCGGGTTTGAACTGCAACAGCAGTATCACAGGGAAGG